GTTCTAAGTTTTGGAATAAACAGAGGGGTCAGAAAATAGGTCAATTTTCAAATTTTCTCATTTTTATGCAATTTTTCATCAATTTTACAGCGCATTTTGTTTCGGAAAACATAGAGCACAGGCTTGCCTATCTACCAAGTTCATATATTCTATTAACTATTATCAGATGCAATTTATGTTTTAAAAAAAATCTCAGATAGGCAAGCTTGTGCTCTATGTTTTCCGAAGAAATTCCACCAGAATTCAGGAAATTCGTGAAAATGTCCTACTTCTGCACTCTCTAGTGTCCTCCATGTAAGCTTTGAATCCAAATCAGTGCTGGGTTTAAAGCAAGCATCATTTAAAGTTCTCAATTACAAACTATCACAATTTTACCAGTGTTTAGGGAATAACTATCTTCTAATTTGGTATTTGCGACCGTTAATGCTGATTTAACGGTCGCAAACTGAGTTTTACCGGCGACGCGTAAGCGGAGCCGGTAAAACGGATGTTTGCGACCGTTAAATCAGCATTAACGGTCGCAAATACCAAAGTAGAAGATCAGTTATTCCCATTCTAATGCAATCCATGCATTTTGTTTGTTGTTTACATATTATTTTGTCGAGTTTCGTTATATAAAATACGTCACGGGCCATTGTTTTTTTGCGTCGCTCTATTATGACGTCACAATGAAAAGCGTTCACTCACGTTAATGCTCGTTTTACTGCTTCAAACATCAGTGCATTAGCCAATCAAAAGGTGTTTTACAAAATAATTGCATTAGAATTTGATTTTTACCACAAATAAGGGGCCAGATGTGGCCGTTACCCTACCTTGTCCTTTGTGGAAGATAATAAATTCGCATCCTGACAGTTGTGAGGATGAATAATTCGAGGAGGGGTACCCACTAATCACAAAACCTAATGATTCCACAGAATGAAGTCACAAAACTACCACAGGAGTTATTTTAAAAATATAATTTACATTACATATAAACACAAATGAATGGAAATTTATGGCATTCTTGTTCGAAACATAACTTTAAAAGCATGCGCTTTATTTGACGTTCACAATCGTTGAACGCCGAGGAAGTGCATTGTCATAAGCGAAAATCAAAAAATCATGTTCACATTGACCAGAAGCTGTTCCATTAACTAGGTTACACGAAGGATGATACATATGTTTATCCTGCAACCAACCCTTGCATTGTCCTAATAAAGGTAACCTAATAAACCAAAGCTTTATCCGGTCACTGCCCTAATAAAGCCTCGTGCATGTGTACCGACGTTCTAAAAGCATTGTGACGTCATGTATATTGCAATGTTTACCCCATGGCGTCATAGTTTCAACTGCAGAGATATGTGCCTAAATCTGTCGAAAATAGCTAGTTTTGGACGTTCAAATATAAAGAATATGTTGCAGGATAAACAAAATACATGATAACTGTCTTGAAATATAAGCGATACTCAATTTGTTTGCACATAACATTGCATTTATGAGACTACCCTATATCTTTCAAAAAATAATGATAAAACTGCCGACTCCTGTGAAACTACTTACTTAAGTTTTTAGTCACAAAAACAAAACAATAATCATTGTATTATACAAACCTCGCAGAGAGAAAGGAATTGACATTCTAGCAAATGAAGAGCTTTGCTTGATCTTTGTTTCTTCGATTGGTGTATATCGTTGCCATGTTGTCAACTATTGTGACGTCATAAATTAGATGTGTTTGTGACGTCTTTATAATTGTTTTCAATATTGTACGTAGATTTTCAGTGATTGATCGATCGTCTGGATTTAACCTTCTAAGAGTCATTATTGTGTTGTAGAATATAATTAATTGCTTTATACTGCAAGGAGTTTTTTGTTCGCCACATTGAAATATTAATTACAATGGCATATATGATAATATTATTCTGTATAATTTATGTGCATTAATAAATTAGGTCGCCATTGAGTGCAAGTACATACGAATGATAATGCAATCTGGTCTCAAAAGTACATGTGTACACTTGCAGGATTTGTTGCTTACTATATTGAATATTTTTAGTATAAATGAAAAGTGTAATTCCACGAATAATCTTTTCCGTTTTTTTCAGTATTGTAGTTTTAAGCTATTGTAAGAATAAGGGGTTCTAGATATTTTAAATTTGCGTATAAAAATATGTCTCTATTAAAATTATAATCATAACTACATATTTTTTATGTAAAAAAAAAAATTATAATTTTAAAAAATTACTGTGGAAATGAAAAGAACAATTTGTTAAATAAAACTATCAATGAATTAGGCGGATAATTTTGTTTAATCAAGTATTGAGTGTTTATATACAAGCTACTAGTAGGTTGTCGACCGACCTAGCTCTTTCTCGTCTGATTCTATTTCTCATACCTTGTGATTGTTGACAGCTGTTGATTTATTCATACAGATGACATCATTTCTATTTACCTTTTTATCTATATGAGTCACATGACCAACCTGTTCCGATGGCTACACCTATATATAAGTCTGGTATAAACAGCCTAACATAAATACGAATTATCACATACGAGAAGTAAAAGCTTGTTCTAGTGAAGTTTAAAATTTAGGCGGTATGTCTACATACTTCATTGAAAACTATTTCGATAAAGCCGATGTGTACAATATTGAACAACATAAGTACATCCATGCTGGTCACAGCGGGAAAGGGCGCTCCAAGCGGGAGGCACAACAGCGGACTAATGTCTACGACCCGAACGGACATACGCGGAAAACCCTACAGAAACTGATGAACAACAAGCAAAAACAGCTCCAACCATGCTGAAAACCCCGACAAGGTTAGTTCTAGTATATTTTACTCGTAATTTTGTCATAAGGTTGTTCAAGAAGATCTGAATGTGTTTTGGAAACAGCAATATGGTGTAATAAAGTCTTGAAATCTTAAATCTAAAGCTCCGCTATAATTTTGGTTATTTTTACTTGCATACACATTTACTTATTTAAAAAAATACAGTAGCCGAATCTTGTAGAATGTTAAGTGTAGAACAAATTCTGTTCCCTGAAGTAATATATCGATATACATGATGCATCCCATTTTGATGAATCTGATTCTAAATTGCGGAGATTCTTTCATACAGTTCATGTTAATCCTATATATTTTAAGCATAAAATTTGTTCTTATTCTCACAGGATATTCCAGGCCAGTTTCTTCCACAAATGACAAAGGAAACGAATAACGGCATAAACGGGACGATTTGCAAATCTGGACTATGAACACGGAGTAAGCGCATGCGTTACATGACAGTCGAACTAATTTGATTTTAAGTCAACATTCCTGTAAACCTGTCAGCTTTGTAATGCAAACGTTTTTGTTGACTTTAACTTACAACAATCAGTTTTGACTGCAAATTCCTGTAAACAATAAATTGAATGTAATCTGTAAGATGATTTTGTCATATTGACTGTAAACTGAAGGGTATAACTTTTTGTAACCACTGAAGGGTATGTCTATCACAGTCGTTGTGAACTGTACACCATCACTTAATTTGTGTACTGACCAAGAACTTTCTGAATTAAAAAAACTGTGCTTTGACTTTAAGATTAACAAAACCAGTATTAATATCTGTTGTAAACTCTTGGTTTTAAACTTTATTATTTGGGTACTAAACCGTGAAATATGTAAAACTTGCTACACTGCTTGTACAGATTGCTGAAATAAAATAGAAAAGGATTTATTTACTATTATTTCGTTATATTTTTGGAAGGTCTTGCCTCTTAACTTAAATAATTTATGGAAATAAGTTCTATTCATTCCATATACATCCCGGTGAAGCTTGAAGGTGTGTGAACAGGAAATATCTCTGAAGATCAAAATCCAAAAATGATTTGGAGAGAAGGGGAAATAAACAAAGTAAATTGTACTTTTATAGGAATTTATTTTGAGGGATACATATATACAGTAAAACTGGCATCCCTAGTATATACATTTTGCATCATGTACAAACCAATAAAATGTTGGTTATTGATTAAAGGATGTTTTTTTCCTTTATTTTATATTCTCAATGTATGAAAACAACATATGGCTACTTTGTTTTCAAACAGAATGTTCTTTGATATGATATTTAGGCTAATTGGTCGACTGAACTTAAGGCCATTGACACATTCACGACAAACCTTGTATACATCTATTACCATTGAAGAGTGAACAAGGATTTTAGTAATTGATATGTTTCAAAACATAAAAATTAGTTAAAAATAGTCAAGGGTTTGATCGATCTTACGCTGTACTCAGGTTTCAGACCATATGTTCCATATTTTTTTTTTATCTGATTAACACATCTATAAGAATAAAATAATGATTTGTCTTAGTAAGAACAATATCTTCTGAAGGACCGTACCTATTAATCTTGAGCCTATAATGTATGTATATTTATTCTAAGTGACAAAGAAAACTTATATGTTGATAGCTGGAATCTATAAATTATCATTTGGTATAAACATTTAGATTTATTCTGTGCAGGATAAATCGACTGTGATCAAACCGCCAAATAACCTTTGTAAGTCAATGAGAACATTACCATTCGATTCTTAACATTTAAAATCCGGTGTAAAAATCAATGGAAATTAAACGAATCTGAAAGGTGATCTATATTTGAAAGATAAGAAATGTTTGCCTCTATAACATTATAATAAAACGAATTGATCTTTAAAATGGAAGCAAAGTTTATTTGATGTAAAATATTTCCGCGGACAGAGGCGTATCCCTACATTAACTCAGTACCAGAAACTGGGGAGTTTAATACCTCGGAAGATTACTGAAACTGAGATTAAATATCCATTTAATTTTCCCATTAAAGGACTTGGCCTGCGTCTTTTATTAATGTCACAAGACATTGTCAGGGAATTTTGAAAATTTTTCAGCTTAATTGAATTCTATAAATTAAAGTTTAATAAAACTTCAATAACTGCCCTTTGGCTTGGACTGAACCCTCTTAAGGAGGCTCTTCAACATGAAAAGGTAATAACAGTTATGTATTTAACGCCGAAAACGGAGGTTTGTTTGTTTGTGGCAATTTTGACTTGTCAGGCAAATGCCTCCATATATATACAGGCATTTCTTTATCGGTAACTTTATATATATACTGGGATTAGCTGCAAAATATATTAGAGACACTGGAACGTCTTTGACTAAGTGACTCTTAAAAGACTATTTATATATTTCATACATTATAGGTCGGGGGATGGAAAGCATCGCAGACAATGATTGTCATTCCAGAAAAATAATGTTTGTGTCTGGTCATTTCCAGTGACTTTTTCGCTATTGGATACATAAAACAAATGGTGTTCTGTTTTTGCAAGAACACTGGTTGGCGCATTCATACACAAACAGAACTGTAGCTCAATATTTAAATTGGGGCAGTTTTAATTGTTCCGTGTGTAAAAGGCGATTAAAAGTTATTTTGATAATTAAAAGTATGTATTGAATTTTCTGCCTACATTGGTATACATTGCAGCACGTGTGCTTCTGAAGATGCGAATCAGCCATGTCCTCATGACCATTTTGAAGGATTTAAAGTGTGGAATTTAACATGGCTCAGAAGGTAGGTACGAGATATAAATCACACCGTGAGTATAACGTGTTCTGTGAAAGTTTTTACCCGTAAACTGCGTGGGAGTGTGCATCACTTTTAAATTATATTTTCTCTATCTTCAAGAATGTTACCTCATAAAAACTGATTATATCTTCCGTACACTGAAATATTTCAGTCTTGAAAATAAACCAATAGCCAATATACCTAACAACTTGCTTTTCATGATCAACAAAAAATATTACTAAAAGTTCACTAGAAACTTTCCCTGTCTGCTTAAAAGACTTACTTGCTATCTATAATATATGAGACTAATTTGTGGTATTGATAAAAGAAATAATTCTACAAATATTTTTTTTCAAAGTAGCTTTAATTAAGAGGATGATTTCTCTTCAAATATTTTGGAATAAAGAAATTTAAGTGAACTGCCTTTTGTAACTAACTGTGATTAAAATAAGACAAGAATATGATTAATTTAAAGTAAGATTGAAATAAACTATCATAGAAGTTGAAAACGTTCACACCGCGGCAGTAGACCACATGCAGGCAGACGAAAAATCTGCAGTAAAATTTAGCATGAAACAAAAGCCTTACAATTCGCAATTGGTAAAAAATATGCCAGTCAAAATAACGACCCAATGATAAGTCATATACATCGTCTCAAGCCAAGGTCCGGAGTCCGCATAAAGCTCTCTCCTACATGGGAGTGGATCGTACATTTTGGCCGTGGTTTGCGACGATGGGTCATATAACGACCACAGATATATACACGACCACAGAATCTCTGGCTGTAATGATATTCGAGTTTGTTGAGTCCCTGTTACACAAACTTAATTGTTAGTAGCCTACTCCGGTTTAAAAAATGAATGTATTCAGAGTAAAGTCTAAAGTTTCAAATAAACTGGGAGACGCTGCTTATAGTGGAATATTACTACATAGATAAGGAAAGTTGACGTCGGAAAAGCTGAAGTTACATCGTTTGTCATACCAAATATAAAACGCTGGTCTCTGTGGTGTCTTTTGTTTCGAGTTCACTGCGATACTAGTATATCGAGTCGACATAATAATGTATTTAAATCCATTATCATGCCATTTATACACAAAGTTTAAAGGAAAGCATTATCCAGACATAGCCTGCATTTTTTGAAACAAACACTAGATCTAGGTCTATTTTCAGAATTGTTAAATTCCAATAATGCACAGACACCTGAAAGTAGAACGGTAACTTGAGTAAGAGTTTAACAATATTATCCAAAAGATGTAAATTTCCCCAATGCACCAACTTAAAACATATTTGTACATTTCGTTTCCTTTTTTGTTTAATTATGCTTTGAATGATTGTGGTCACGGGAAATCACTGTGCTTCCAGATCCATGATTTTTTCAAAAACAGAATAGTGACCAAAATCCAAATCGTATGGGAGTTATGCCTCCTTGGCGAGCTATTTCTTATGACCTTGAAGGTAAAAAAAAAGAAAAAAGCTTCGGCGCCTTGGGTTTCTTTAATTTACGGACCCAGATAGAAGGTCCCATGCGCGGATCTGTTGAGGGGGGGGGGGGGTCAGGACCCCCCCTGGAATTTCCAAGGTTATTAAATTTATATACAAAAGCAAGAAAAGAGTTAACTTGGACCCCCCTCGGAAAACGCAGACCCCCCTGGTAAATGTGAACTTTTATTAAAGTGATATGAAAAGTTAAAGATTTAAATTTTCTATTAAAAGTCAGCGCCTACGCCCCCCCCCCCCCCCCCCCCCCCCACGAAATAGGATTTAGGATTTTGAAGTTTGGGTAAGTTTACGGTTTTTTTTTGTTTTTTTTTTTGTTTTTTTTTTTATTTTGCTTGTCGAGAAATTTCTGGGTTGAAAAATTTTTTGGGGGAGCCTGGGGTGGACCCCCCCTGGGAAAAAGTTCTGGATCCGCGCCTGGGTCCGACTTTAAATTAGTTGTTAATAACGTAAATCATTATGTATTTTTCTTTCTTTAACATTTATGACGTTTTAAGGCTTTTTTTACAATATTGATATTTTACGTGCCAGGAAAACGATTTTTCAAAGATCTGTGTTTGATTTTTTTTGTTTGTATTCAGTGAAATTCCAGTTAAAGAATTCATATTTTCTAGGGTGGTGGTGATGGTCGGGGATTTACAATTAGGAACTTTCATGTACAATTGTTTGACTCTTTTCAACTGATTTTTGACTGAAGTTTGACTGTTTTTGACTAATGTTGCACCGTTTTGACTAAATCTTTGCATGTAAATGGTATCAAAACATATACCAGACATATGTTTTCATTCCATAGGGGATACATTATTATGACCGCAGAAATTCCCATACAAACGAGGCTTTTGTGAGGGCTGTGTCAAAGGTCAAAACCATCAACAAGTTCCGGGTCAACCGGTCAGTGTCTGATTTTGGTCTCCACAAAAACGAAGACAGCAACTGCAGTGCCTTGCTTACAGCTGAAAAAGAGAAATGGTAAGTGTGATTAGAGAAGAAAGTTGTTCGGCTATCATTGTAAATGGTTTTTCCGTAAACCCATTGAATTGCCATGAATGTTGACAAGGTGCACACGTCAGATGTGATCGGCGGACAGGGGATGCTTGCTCCTAGTCCTTGTTAGCTCTGCTTGTTGTCCCCCGCTTGAAAAGTGGGGGATATTAATTTGGGTTTGTCCGTCCGTCCGTCCGTCCGTCTTTCTGTCTGTCTGTAACGCTTTCGTTTCCACACGATATCTCGAGAACCCTTTGAGCTTTTGCAATGAAATTTAGCATAGCAACTCCCTATGGACTAAAGAAGAACCCTATTGATTTTGAAGTCAAAAGATCAAAGGTCAAGGTCATAAATAAGCAAATTCTGTCTGTTATAACACTTTCGTTTCCACACGATGTCTCTAGAACCATTTGAGCTATTGCAATGAAATTTTACATAACAACTCCCTGTGGGCTAATGAAGACCCCTATTGATCTTCAGGTCAAAAGGTCAAAGTTCAAGGTCGTAAATTTATACATTCTGTCTGTGTGTAACACTATCATTTCCGGGCGATATTTCAAGGAGATTTTGAGCGTATGCAATGTAATTTTATACCAAAACTCCCTAGGACCTCTCTCACCCCCTCTCAAAGTGCCCCGCCCCGTTTGTTTTATTAGTATTTATAGTATGACATGTCGCTATTTTTAGCACAGGGGCATGAGGAGAGTTATTGCGAATAAACCAGGTTCTCGGTGGACTTTATGTTCTTATTACATCTATTAGAACTGTTTAATAAAGGCTAAATAAATCAAACACCATGGATTGTGTAAAATTTTGAGAATACCGAACATGAATATATACATGTATGTGACTTTAGTTCTGCATATACTTGACTCAATGTATTGCTATTCCGTGGTGTAGTGGTATGTCTCTCGCCTCACATGTGATAGGTCCCGGGATCGAATCTCGAACGATCGTTTTTTTTTTTTTTTAAATACTTTTCTTTTTTTTTTACTAAATGATAGTATTCAGCATGTGAAATGAAAAATTTATGAGGTTATGAAATCATCATTACAGTGTGATAAATATTCCATATAAAAAGAATCTTCTATACACATAATAAAGAATAAGCAGGCAAATCTTTATATGCATATTGACATACATGTATTTTATTTGCTTCAGTATACATGTATACATTTAATAATTCTACAAATTCAGTCAGGGGGATCCGACTTTTTCCCTAAGCGGGGGACACAAATTCTCTGAATTAGCTTGTTATATATTTGCATGTTTAAACTGTTTTATGGGATTTTGAGTCTAAATGATTAGTTTTGTTACGCATTTCATTTTTTAAAAATGGCGAGTATATATATAATCACTGAAGTTGTGTTATACTAATAAGCATATAAGTGTGTTGTTTTTCAATTTGTGAATAGTCAGGTTTCAGTAAAGAACAACTGTTTTTCCATTTTTTTATTTCAATGATATTTTCTAAAAATAAGTATGAGAGATGTAATTTGTATAAAAAGAAATTTAAACATCTAGGAGATAGTGTATCACCGTTGGAGGTAAGGTATCATGGAATTATTTATAGTTTTTTCTCGGGAATAGATTATCTTCTTACCGATATCTTTTTTAATGGTTTTCATATGAAAAAGTGGTAAAAAGATATTATTATACCCCACGCAACTAGTTGCGGGAGGTATAATGTTTTTGACCAGTCGGTCAGTCAGTCAGTCAGTCCTCTTTTTTTGTCAGCGCAACTCCTCATAAACCGCTGCACAGAATTTCGTCAAACTTTGCAGGTATCTAGGACACAATATGTAGATGTGTATATTACCAGGAAATTCCGATTCCATTATTTTTTCCGGGAATTTCCGCACTTTTTAACTTAGGCATTTGGCCATACCTTGTATATAGAGATTAACAGAATGTCAGCGCAACTCCTCATAAACCGCTGCACAGAATTTCGTCAAACTTTGCAGATATTTAGGACACAATATGTAGATGTGCATATTCCGAGGAAATTCCGATTCCATTATTTTTTCCGGGAATTTCCGCACTTTTTAACTTAGGCATTTGGCCATATCTTGAATATAGAGATGAACAGTTTGTCAGCGCAACTCCTCATAAACCGCTGCACAGAATTTCGTCAAACTTTGCAGGAATTTAGGACACAATATGTAGATGTGCATATTACCAGGAAATTCCGATTCCATCATTTTTTCCGGGTCTTTCCGCACTTTTTAACTTAAGCATTTGGCCATACCTTTTATATAGAGATGAACAGTTTGTCAGCGCAACTCTTCATAAACCGCTGCACAGAATTTCGTCAAACTCTGCAGATATTTAGGACACAATATGTAAATGTGCATATTCCGAGGAAATTCCGATTCCATTATTTTTTCCGGGACTTTCCGCACTAAATACTTAGGTTTTTGGCCATACCTTGAATATGGAGATGAACAGTTTGTCAGCGCAACTCCTCATAAACTGCTGCACTGAATTTCGTTAAACTTTGCAGATATTTAGGACACAATATGTAGATGTGCATATTACCAGGAAATTCCGATTCCTTTATTTTTTACGGGACTTCCTGCACTAAAAACTTAGGTTTTTGGCCATACCTTTTACATAGAGATGAAAAGTTTGTCAGCGCAACTCCTCATAAACCGCTGCACAGAATTTCGTTAAACTTTGCAGATATTTAGGACACAATATGTAGATGTGCATATTACTAGGAAATTCTGAATCCTTTATTTTTTCCGGGAATTTCCGCACTTTTTAACTTAGGCATTTGGCCATACCTTGAATATAGAGATGAACAGTTTGTCAGCGCAACTCCTCATAAACCGCTGCACAGAATTTCGTCAGACTTTGCAGGAATTTAGGACACAATATGTAGATGTGCATATTACCAGGAAATTCCGATTCCTTTATTTTTTCCGGGACTTTCCGAACTTTTTAATTTAAGCATTTGGCCATACCTTTTATATAGAGATGCACAGTTTGTCAGCGCAACTCTTCATAAACCGCTGCACAGAATTTCGTCAAACTTTGCAGATATTTAGGACACAATATGTAGATGTGCATATTCCGAGGAAATTCCGATTCCATTATTTTTTCCGGGACTTTCCGCACTAAATACTTAGGTTTTTGGCCATACCTTGAATATAGAGATGAACAGTTTGTCAGCGCAACTCCTCATAAACTGCTGCACAGAATTTCGTTAAACTTTGCAGATATTTAGGACACAATATGTGGATGTGCATGTTACCAGGAAGTTCCGATTCCTTTATTTTTTGGGAATTTCCACACTTTCCAACTTAAGACTTTTTGGCCATATTTTGAATATACAGATGAACAGTTTGTCAGCACCACTCCTCTTAAACTGTTGTACATAGTTTCGTCAACCTATGCAGATATTTAGGACATATTCCATTATTTTATCCCAAAGAGTTTTGCCTATTATTCAAGAAAATTTCTCACCCCCCACCCCCACCCCCCAACCACTTCAAATGAATGTTTGGATTTGTATAATGCCAAGAAATTTTGATTCCATTATTTATCCAGAAACTTTATTCCACATTTAAATGTCCTCATATGCAAGACATTTTGATGTGTAGATTTTTTTGCAGTTATTGCCCTTTTTGATCTATACTATGTATCTAAAGTGCACTAGCTGTGCCTTTCATTATGTGTTTCACCGTCAAGTTTTGGGGGAGCGTGGGGTATGTGAGCTAGCTCACTTTTTCTTTCATTTTGACAATTTTGGTTTGATTTTCCTTGTGTTTGCTTTTGACAAAAAGTAATAACAAGAAAAATCAAACTAAAAACCATTAAATGTGAATAAGCGATATAAGGTTTGTTGAAATATTTTGGTTCTTTGAAATTGAGATTATCTCAAATTATGAAAGTAAATAATTTACCTTTGACCCCCCCCCCCCCCCCACACACACACACCCTCTTGAAATACGCCACCCTCATATTGTTGGTAAGATTATATAAACGAAGCAAGAGCAAGACATAAGATTACACATTTGAATCATTTGTGTTTGTGACAAGTAAAATTTTAAACATATGCTAATGAGTGTAAGCATCCCCCCAGAGAAAATTAAAGATCATGGATTTTTCCTTGCAATTCAAAATAGTGTTTGCTGTTCTTTTTAAGTGTCTTGGAACACCAAATAAGTATCAAAATTTGTTCAACAAAATAAATATTTAGGTTATGAATGAAAAGAAATAAAAATTAAAAGAAATGAACATTTTAACTTTTAAAGATTGGAAATAAACTAAATGAAAGGCTGGTGAAAATGAATAAATCTGATAGCAAAATATTTACATAAAATAGTCAAATACAATACTTAGACTTAAGTTCTGAATCCATAATGGACAGTAGTTTTAGCTACATTGGGTGTAGTAATTTATTACTGCATGTAGCTATACATCACATATTCAAGTTGTGAATGTGCCCACTAGAATGATAACGGTAGTTTATTAATTTATTCCAATTCCAGAAAAAAAGGAACTTATTTACCCAGTCTGAGACTTTGATAATTAGAGATGATTTGCTGACTCTTTTTTAAGAGGAACAAACAATTAAATCTGTGGGTTTTTTAATTTAAAAAAGATCTTTTCTGTTTGTTTTTTTTTTAATTTGGAGAGCATTTGTATTTTGTTAAAGTTTTGGAATGTAATGCCTGCATGGTTCCATTTTACCAATTAACACAGATGATAGAAATATTTATTTTTTAAATTTAAGGATTTTTAAACTGATCTATATCTGCAATAAAAGTCAAAAACCAACAAATGAAAATATTTGTGACACAAATAAATGTACTTTGTGGGTTAGCAGGTCAGCATTATTAAGTTAAATCATTTCTAAGGACTGGAAACCATTTCTTAAATCCCCATGTGATTTAAACTTTAAATCTTTCAAACAAGGCAATTTAACTGAACATTCAATGATTATTTATGAAAAACATGACATCTAAACTAGAAAATAA